AGAAAGATGTTTTCACATTCATCTGCTCAAAGTGGAAAGTTTCTCTGAGCTCACTGAAAATCTGATTGTAAGGCGCTGGGCCCACGAGCCTGATTGGTGACATTATAAATAGTTTGTAAGTCAAGCCTGGTCCAGTTTGCAACTCATACAAGTGTGATGTAGAAATTTAAAGCCACTAATGCACTATACACTGAGAGCGGAGACTAGGAGACGTCTTGTGTCTAGCAGGAAAACTTTAAAAAAGGAGAACATTTACATATTCATAGATTCTGGATTAGAGTAGATGCCCTTTTAAGGATTTTAATGTGGAAATTAGGCTTTTTTTTGTGGAGATAAACATGAGGCATACATTATTGCTCCAAGCAGACTACTTGTAAATTCGTTTTTCCATACTGTCCACTTCTGAATCTGATAGAAAAGTTCTTTACAGTCTGGTGATGGAAGGAATACGACCAACAGGGTCTCCGGGCATTGGAGGACAAGTGGTCATACCGATGTGGGCGATAACCAAGGTTTAATGCTCCACTCCAGGCAATAATTGACTGATACAGTTTCTCTTTCTTTGCTGTACACACAGCCCACAGTCTAGTCATTGTTTACGGTACATTTGTCTTACAGCACTGTGTATTTTACAGTATGTGCTTAGAATAAACAGCTATGTGGCTGTGTGGTTAGCGCCAACCTTCAGCAGTTTGTATTAATACAGAAAAGTCAACACTGAACGTGAACCTACTGAAGACAATACTCACTGTAGGTGGTTAGTTGGTAAACACATAAATATAATCATATGGGTTCTGTCTGTGTATTTGTGTTGCGAAAAGTCAGTGTTGAGATGTCATAACATAGTTTGTAATGTAATGTCGTCATTTTGCAAGGAATTCACACATAAAATGGTTATTGGTTCACAAATTGGTTAAAAATCATGCGTGCATGTCACTTCTTATATTTGTTGAGCGTAACAATGAGATGAGATAAATGCATCCAATAAGAAAGAATGCAACATCATCCTAATAGATTGTGTAATTAGATTATTTCCCTTTTGTCCCAGTATTAAGCATTTAGGAGCAGTATAGAAACATTTGGCAAAGGGTTTAAAATGCATTATAATTTTGCTGCAAGCTGGTATAAGTGTTTATTGATACATTTGTCAACAACTAAACTATAACTGAAGGCTACTGTATAAATAGATAATAAACACTGCTTACAACCACATTATAGTATAAATAATTGATATATATATAACACCAACTAAGGGGCTCTTATATCTCTGCAGGGGTACACTAAAGCATCACATACAATGACCCTTAATATGAAGATGATGCTGCAACATTAATGCCACTACAGCTTCTGTTGGCCTGCCTATAGCAGCCTTTAATACATAACCATGACTGTGCCATGTCAGAAAGAGTCACACGCATACTTTAATACACACACACACACACACACACACACACAGAGGGGCCTGAGGGTACCGCTGTCATCAGTTCAATGTTAAACACAGCACATAACATGGTCCACATGCTCAACTGCAGCTGGAGGTCGAGGACGAAACCTTGGTTCATTAGTCTAATGTGTAACCAAAGAGTATATGTATGTAAATATACATTTGGTCGTAATTCTAACCACATCAATATTCATAGGTATCTGATTTAAAAGACAACAAACTAAGAGCGGGGATAAAGATGAAGCCCTCTCTCCATCTGCAAAAAACCTGCCATCGGTGCCCTTGAGCAAAGCAGCAAACAGTATATTCAGCTGCAACCTCTCAGCGGCTGGCAGTGACAGTGTTTCGGTAGTGATGTGTCCTCCTGGGATGCGAGTGTGTGTAACCTAATCTCTCCCCACAACCACATCCCCCCCGGGCGGTAAACAGAAAACATAAAAATTCATCCGTCTAACTATGACTTTAAATGCAGTGCTGCAGGGAAATTAAAACTATCCACTGAGAGACGTATTGAGATGAGGGCCTGCAAATATTCAGCTCCATCACAGTCCGAGAAAACCACCAGACAATTCCCATGAGATATTCTTCCAGTCACACCGCTGCTCTGTTGTTTATGATCTAAAATGATTTGTCATTTCCTCCAGAGATGCTCCCAACCAGCAGGCCTGTTTTATTTGCGCCATCCGGCAAAGTGTGGCATTTTACACTGACAGATCTGCTGTGAAGCCGAAGCACAAGTAAAGCTAAGAATAGCTGATGGGAAGCCAGCAGCAGCAGAGGCAAAGACGCCGGTCCAAGGTTAGACTAGGACACAGGAAAGCAGGCATACAGGAGGACACAACTGAGTCAGACGGCCTTTCAGCTGGGCCGGGAGGACATCTCTGATTGGACAGAGCGGGGATAAGCACACATAAAGGCACATATGTCTGCTGGATGGTGTGTGTGCTGTGGTCACTAACCAGAGGCAGGGCGCATGAGAGCTGAGTCAAGCTGCAATGCTAAGCTGAGGCTGAGTAGTCTGATTTCTCCCTATTGTGTCACTCAGCACAATTTAAAGGATATTCTGGACGATATGCAGACAGGTAAATCATAAAACAACATCAGGTATCAAACAAACATTTGCCCTGACAGCAGGAGAGCAGCTAAACTGCAGGCATCAGTGCACATGAGGAGACCGAAGGCCCCAGTTCACCTCCTCGAATCTCACCGGTAAGCTGTCTAGGACAAACATCTCCATCTACACAGTTTACACATCAATTATTGGACATGTTCCTGATTAAAATCCTGGGTTTTGGGACAATATTACTGAACTTTCAGCTCTGTCTGGGGAGGGCAGTTTTGTTTTCGGTTTGCACAGAAGAAACCGGGCCAATTTCAGTTGTTTTCTTTCTTGAGCCAGATTGTCTAAACAGTTGCTGAATCGTTTTTCTGAGAAGTTTTTATTTGCTTGCAGTTTTGCAAAATCCAAACAAATCCTGTTTCAAAACCAGGCCAGCGTGAAATTCAAGTGTCAGTATCAGCTTACTATGAGTGTAAAACACATCAAAACACAAGAAAACATGTTGTTTTAAGGCTTATTATTTCTTTAACATCACAAAATAAAAATAAGCTGTTATATGAATTAGAAGAACTTTAAGTTGCCAAGTTATGAGACCAGCTTTGATGCTGAAATGTGTAACTTTCTACATGTTTTTGATGTAGACCAAAGAAGACAGAAGTGTCACAAATCAAAAGACCAAAAAGCTGATTCTAGACTGGCAGGTTGGTGGAAAACAAGTCTTTTCTTTTTATAACATGGCGAAAAAGGTGAGCCGGTGGCTGAGGTGAGGGAAGGTAACCAGCAGTGAGGGCTTTCAGAGAAGGGGGGTGGAACTGGAAAATGAGAGCTGGCGGCTAGGTTGGCTAACTGGTGTGGAGAGCTGGTAGACAGGTGATCCTGGAGATAGACGGAACTGGTGTGAGTTGCTCTTCCAGGCAAACAGAAAAACAAACAAACTGGTAGATAAAAATAATTTTGAGCTGAAGTGAGGGACATAAACATACTGTGTAATTTCCACTGCCAAAACAATTAAAATCATGATTATGTGACATTTTTGGAGTTGTGTACCATACATTGTGGTCTGTTAACGTGTTTTCTTAAACCCCTAAAACAAGATTTGTCGACCAGTGCATCTCTGCAGCTCTGCAGCACCTCATTTTAATTCTGTTTTGTCACATATTTTACCTTCATAAAAAAATTGCAACTTCAGCAATCCACAAATGAAATGTGTGCAGTACCTAAGGTTACAGAAGTGCGAAATATTAAGACATTTGAGGTCCACCACAGATATTTTAATTCAGTCACAATAGCAGCAATTTGTTCTCAGAGGTAAAAGCATCCGATTTCTGCACTGTGGCGCCACAGCCTGGCTGTAGCTGAAGGCTACACTTTCTCTCTGCTCTCTGTCTGTCTTTCAATCTGGAGAAAACACACACAATGATTAGGACTATGTGGCCTGCCTGTCCATTGTTGTATTTTGTTTGCTCTGATATATTGCATGGATCTAAGTGTGCTTCTTCACTTTCAATCTGAAGAAAAATAAAATTCCCAATTCAAAATATTTAAACAAGGTTTTCCACAGCTGTATCTCTTATCTTCACTCTGTCCTTGAATCTTGAAAAACACACTTATGGTTGTGTTTCCACTGAGCACACATCGCTGTATTCTGTAGATGTAGTTTTTAATGGTTTTTCTACTGTGATACTATGTTATTTATCTATCTGTGGTTGTCATTGGGTGGCGCTGTGGGTGGCCATGATTGTCTACGTAAGTCAAGGACTAATTAGTTACCAGTGTGGCACACAGCAAAGTTGCATGGTTTTGACCGTGTCAGTAAAAGATTTTGTTTTATTTTGAGAGATTTTTGTTGCATAGCTGACCAAGTGGTGCTTTAATTATACTGTAAACCAGAAGTAAGGAAGCAAAGAAGTTCAAATACGTTGCTACTGTACTTGATTTTCATGTATCTGTATTCATTTTTTGGACACTTTTTTACTTTTGTACAAATATCTGTACTTTCTACTCCTATACTTTATTTTTTATGCATTTGAGGGGAATTAACGATTCTACTTCTTCTTATTCTTATTATTCTTCTTATTATAATTATTATTGTTTTTTCACTGCACGCCTTCCCAACATCAAATCCAGTACATATAACACACAACGGACATAACAAGGCAAAACAGACAAGAGAGGAAGACTCAACCCTATTTGAAGTCTCAGTTAGCTTGCATAGAAACAGCCAGTAGAAACGTCCTTCAGAGAAACTAAGAGAGTACTTTTTTTCTCTGGGCTTTTATTGCTTTTAATCAATAGTGGCAGCTGAAGAGAGACAGGAAAGAGAGAGAGAGAGAGAGAGAAAGAGAGAGAGAGAGGATAAGATGCAGCAAAGGGCCACA